ATAACTTGTAAGTTCCTTATAAATATTAGTTATATGTTCCTTATATGTCAAAAATGCATAGTAATAAACTTTTAATTTTCTTAAGTATCAAAAAGAAAGAAAAATTTTTTTAAATATAAATATTTAAACAATTTTTGTGCAAAATTTTTCTGCACATGCATTTGAATATAAATTTCTGAGATTTTAAATCTGTGATTTTTACCTTAATTTTAATTAAAAAATATTTTAAAACCTGCTGATTACCTATAGTATAATTAAATTTCAATATAATGCATGGCAACTGTTGGTAGTTTTGAAGTTTATATATTTTCTTGGCAAATTTCAGTTTTTGACATTTTTGACAGGTTTTTGACGGTTTAAACCAGTATTATACCCTTGTCATGTCAAAAACCACTTTTTGACGTCAAAAACCCAACCCTGTGATATACAGAATAATTAATATACAGAAAGTTTATTGTTCTTCAATATTTTAAGTTTTATTTATAAATCTACTGAAAAACATTTTGTAAAACAGCTAACAGTAAAATGAAAACAATTTACTACATTGAAATGTCCATATCAGGAATTGAGATTATAGTATCACTATGATCTAGTAGCAGAATGTTTTTGTCTAACATTTTGAACTAGGTGACAAATATCAACTAAAAAGGTTGAAAAATTTTATGCTATAATTATGAAAGAAAATAAAATAAAATCCAATTTTAAAAACTGAGCTTTAATTGTATGTTAGTTAGCAGTTACTGTATCAACAAGACTCAGATAAAAATGAAAAACTTTCTGCAAGCAATTGATTCTTGTTAATAGTTACTTTTTCATTGCCATCTAATTTTGATGAAATTAGTTTGAAAATCACTGAATTTTACATAAGGGTTTTAAGTTTTACAAAAACACATTGATTAGTATGCATAGCAGCATTTATTTCTTTAAATTTAGCAATTTTTTTTAATCAAATAAATATTTCTTAAAAGAACCACTTTTCAAAACATAGATATCTTTTTTTTTTTAAGAGCTATTCATCTTACTAGAAGTAATAGTACAAAAAAATATTGACCGTGGAACTGTTATCTTCCTTTATGAGTAATACTAAAAAGTTTTCCACGATGATGACAAATTTCGTGAAATCAGTGTTCGCGATTTTGTGTATGCATATCTAAATATATTATATTTGAGACATTACTAATAATACCCATAACTATAGCAATAAGATTAATATGAATATTTAACAAAAAAGTATAAATTTTGTAGTTTAACTAAGCAATTAAACAAAATTCTTACCCTTATGTAACAAAAGCAAATTTTTAAAATTTAAATAATGTTAAAAACACTAGTTCTTTGAATATCAAATGTTATTGAGTTTGAAAATACTGATGTCCACCAATTTATTTGACAGTTTATTAAACTGTCAAATAAATTGGTGGACATCAGAATAGAATATTAAAAATTTCAGAAATATAAAAGAAAAAAAATCTTTTTTTCAAAATAGATATATTTACTTTTAAAATTCAAATTTCAGGAACGGAGATTAATGTTAACAACAGAAGTTCTTTGAATAACACAAATGTTATTGAAACAAACTATTGATATTTACCTACCTAATGATTTAATAATTTTTTGGGCAAAACATACTAAAAAAATATATACAATATCAAATATAAGTAACGCAATGAATATAAGTTTTTAAAAAAAAATAAATTCAATTAACATTCAAAGTTTAGGAAGAGTTGTGGAGACAGTTTTTGACAAAGTTACAAATCCAACTCGTCGCTTCGGTTTAGGAGTAGTTTCTTTCTCATCAGGTTTAATTTCAACCTCTTTAGATGTACCAGGCTGTAAAACATCCATGGGTGTTATTGTTTCACTCTGCTTTGGTTTAGGAGTAGTTTCTTTCTCATCAGGTTTAATTTTAACCTCCTCAGATGTACCGGGTTCTGAAACATCCATGGGTGTTATCGTTTCACTCTGTGACAACTCTAGTTTCCAATCATTGTCGGCTGTAATCAAAACACTTTCTGCCGAATCATGAATCGAATCAACAGGAGCCACTTCACCAAGATCCATTTCCGAAATTTCATTCGCAACACTGTCGTTGTTTATTTTATTTGCAAAATTAAGTTGAAGTTTACATTTTGGTTCCTTTTGAAAAACCTTGGTATCAAATACAATTTCAATAGAATCACTATCATTGCTAGCTACCTCTACATTGCCAGGGATATTTGAATCTTTAACAATTTGTTTGCTTAACGGCGTACTTTTTAAACTTGGCTCTTTGAATTCAATATCTTTGTCCTTTAGAGAACTTTCAGCTTTGGATTGAACATCACTTGAAGACATCTTATTGGTACTTGGTATATCTTTTAAAGGTTGAGTTACTTGTTCTAATGGTAAAGGATTAGTTTTCGGAGATTTGAAAAAGCTTTCAATGGTTAGTTTTGGTCTTTTAGGTTTAACCGGTATTGGGCTTATAACACTTTTTGGAGAAACTGCAGATTTTGTATCAGGTGGCATAGGAGATCCAGGTACAATTTCATTTGCATTAGAAATAGGTTTCACCGTAGTATCAATGGACTTAACAATAACATCATTGGGTTTAGCAGTGACATCATTCGGTTTCAAACATGCATCAGGCTTAGTAGAAGCATCATCTGATTTGGTAATCGACTGTTTGATTTCTTTTACGTGCTCTTCTGTTTTAGGAGTTTCTGGTGGAGGCGGTTCATATATCTCCCCTAGCTCTTCTTCACAAAATGTAATAAATGAACAATAACCCTCAGATGATGATGCGATAAGAATACGCCCATCTATGGACCATGACAAATCAGTTATATGTGTATAATGAATATTTGATATGCACGCCACTGGCACCAATTGTTCAGTATCATAAATCAAGACTGAATCACTTGTAGCAACAGCAAATACCATTCGATACGGCAAATCTATCAGGCATTTAGATTTTCGGTTTTCTTTATCTTCAGAGCTCCGCAATTTATACAAATGAGGATTGCATCTAACAGCGACGGTGTACTTATCACCTGACGGCAAATGAGCCACTGGCTCAGCTAACGAGTGTCTGGAAAAAATATAAGTTGTGTTCACAGTTTTCCCATCTTTAGGAAGGATTCCAGATGGAACAATCAACAGTTCTCCATCTGGAGTAAAACTAAGCCGTCTGAAGTAAGATTTCAGGGTATCATCATGAAATAAATGAACACGAGCAATACCTTTGTCAGCACCTACGGGCCTTGGAGCATATCGAATTTTATTAACAGTCCTTTTCGATTTGATGCTCATTACCCTCAATGAGCGATCTGCACTCAATGAGGCCATATATTTATTTAAAGGATCCCATGAAACACCTTGAACATAGCCTTTAGCATCAGAGAAGACATGCAGAACTTGAAAGCTTTGCATGTCCCACATAACAGCTCTGTTTTCTGTAGATGCAGATATCAAATAATTACCATCAGCCGACCAACTGATATCATATATATCTTTTGATCGGCTGCTTAAAACTTTGAGAGGGATCCATTTTTCTTCGTCTTCATTTTCATGCTCTTTCAATTTCCATAAAATCAATGTACCATCATCATCTCCAGAAGCAAGCAGATTGCCAGTAGGTGCGAAACGGACAATGTTTACTGGTGTTAAATGGCGATCATACTCTGAATGAAACTTAATGTTTATACCTGTTTCATCTGAAAAAGTGACATACCATATCAAAACCAATTTATCAGATCCCCCACTAGCCAAACGAAAATGATTCCCTTTTAATGGTTGAAAATCTACACTTAAGACAGGTTCACGTTCATGCCATGCAATTTGAGGAATTTTACACTTCATTTTTTAAATATATGGAGGAAGGAAAGGAGAAAAATTGGTTTTTAATGGGTTTAAAGGTTGTTGAATGAAGTTAAAAACATAAATAACCACTCACCTCAAAACAACTGCATTCCCGCCACATTTTCGCTTCTCTTCTCCTCGTGGACAAATTAGTGTTGCCAATAAAAGTTGTATATCCTATCAATGCAAAGATAATATCAATGGCTGTTGCTTGGCTACCAACCTTTTTTAATTAAATACACCTATTTCATTGGCTGTTATCATCATCGGTTTCATCGTTACTGCTTCGTTGTTTCTGGTTTATAACATATCGTTGTGTCTGGTTCATAACACATGGCATTTCTGTCCCGTAGTGGACTGATCGTTAAGACACGGTTCCCAGCAGATCACCGAAGTCAAGCATTACTGGCTGCGGTCAGTGTGTGGGTGGGTGACCACTTGGATCAGTCTACGCAGGGAACGAGGATGTGCGGTATTGGTCCTCGTTAAACTGTTCTACCATAATGTGCTCGACTTCGCGTGCAGGCCGTCAGGCAACCAAAGCGGGGGCGCCATCCCCTCTGCAGAGGATCAAAATTGTGATGGCATGTCTTCGGATCATCCTCAGGGATGTTTCCCAGACCGTCGCCAATAGCCCATTGTGCAGCTCAAGTGCGACGTAAATGAGCTACAACTACATGGCATTTCTATCACTTGTTGGAGAACAAGAAAAATCCAAAAATTGTTTCTTTCATCTTTCGTGAATATCTTGTTAGACCCTGAGGGAGGGGATGCTCAACGACCGCTTCTGTAGCTCAACGACCTGCACGCGAAGTCGAGCACTTTACGGTAGAACAGTTTAACGAGGACCAATACCGCACACCCTCGGTCCCTACGCAGACTGATCCAAGTGGTCACCCACCCGCTCACTGACCGTAGCCAGTGATGCTTGACTTCGGTGATCTGGTGGGAACCGTGTCTTAACGATCAGTCCACTGCGGGACCCCTCCCATTGAGAGGACCCTGGTTATTAAGATATCTTAGTGTTATTAGATGGCAAAATTTAAATATAATGATTAACGTTAATTAATGATATACCAGAATTAGGTATATGATTTTTAACTGTTTGTTTTAATCAATCATTTTAACCAATCATTTTAACATAAATTGTTGCATTCAAATTGAATAAAGTATAAAGATGTCATATGAAGTGAAATGTGGAATTTCAGAGCACTTAAAAGCAACGTATTTAACTCATAATGCTTGTAATAGAATTTCAAGCATGATGTGTTATTTATGCAACATCGACTGTCTTAAGACGGGTGAAATCGTAACTTTCGCAATGCATGATGGGAAATCTCGTAAGTTTCAATTCAACTGAAACACTTACGTCGAAAATGACAAATCGGTCTTAAGACGGGTGGTTCGACTGACTTAAGACGCTCTAATCCAATATGGCGTTTGTGTTGTTTTGTTATGATGATCCGTTGGTGATCATGAAACAAAACTTANACTAATAATGCTGCAAAAAGAATGATAATGATGAATTATGGCAGTAGTTTTTTAAGGGGTGCTTTATATAGTTATGTAAGGTATTTATACATACTAGGGATTTTTTTCATATATCTCTCCATAATAACATAATGGCTTGACGTGTGTCACTCACTATTGTCGTTGGCTCATTTTTAAGCAGAAAATCACATATTATCCTATTTTATCAGATTTAGCTCCGCCCCGCAGTGGACTGATCGTTAAGACACGGTTCCCAGCAGATCACAGAAGTCAAGCATCACTGACTGCGGTCAGTGTGCGGGTGGGTGACCACTTGGATTAGTCTGCGTGGGGACCGAGGGTGCGCGGTATTGGTCCTCGTTAAATTGTTCTACCGTAAAGTGCTCGACTTTACGTATAGGTCGTCGGGCTACCGAAGCGGAGTCTGCAGAGGATCAAAATTGTGATAGCATGTCTTCAGATCATCCTCAGGGATGTTTCCCAGACAGTCGCCAATAGCCCATTGTGCAGCTCTAGTGCGACGTAAATTAACTACAACAGATTAAGCTGCACATTTCTTTGGTTGTCATCAGCATAAAAATTAATAAAAGGTAATAGTGAAATATTTCTTTATTCTTAACTAAGCAGACCTGTAAAATTTATTCATTATCCTTTATTAATAGAGCCCCTGAATTTATTAATATTCTCTGATATATTATAACGGTTTTTATTTTGATCATATATTAAAATTGTGTTCAGCTTACGTGAAGATTCCATCAGAACCGAGCAAAATGATAATATTTAAATTGTATCCCTATAAAATCGGAAATTAAATTTGTGAAACCAAATCCATGGTAATACAATAAAGCGTTTTGGGATCTTTAAATTACATACTTTTAAATTTAGATGTAACAAACTGTATATAGTCAAAAATGGGAAGAAAAAAAAAGATATATGGGTCAGCTAAGCAAGCAGAGCTCCTAGTCTTAAATAATTTAATTATGGCTGCTGTATAAAATGTCAAATAATTATTTTTTAATTTATTAATCTTTTTTTTTGTATATGCTGTTAATAATGTTAGTGGTATTTAATAGTTCACACCGATTTCACACAGTTCGCTCCGCTCGTCTACCTTGTAATTAGTTATTATTCATCATTATTTACTTCTCCTTTAGCGTTCATATTTTTCACAAAAACGCAGAGCATTTAAACTTTAAAATATGCCATTTTTTTGCTTTATGTCAGAACATTTAGTTAACATGTTACTCAAAATGAAATGGACAATTAACTGGATTTTAAAAATAATCACCTGAATATGAAAAAAATTAACCTAAAGAACACAAAATGTGTGACACAATGAGAAGAAACAAATGAGAAGAATTTTATTCTTTGATAAAACTTGTAACGATTCAAATAGGAAATAGTTCTTATCGCTCTATCTACGTTTTATTTATTTATTAAAATTGTTTTATATTTATATCTCGCAACACTTAATTCTCTCTCTTTTCTTTTTGTTTTCTCTTTTTTTTTACTACTTTTGATTGACATCTATTAGAGTGCTTTCTTTTTTTCAATTGCTTTATATTTATATCTCGCAACACGTAATTCTCTCTCTTTTCTTTGTGCTACTTTTGATTGACATCTACTTGAGTGTGAGTTTATAAAATAAAAAAGTGAAGATCTCGTGAGAATTTTTTTTTTCTGAAGTAATTGATAAATGGTCAATATTTACAGCAAAAAATCTCTAATTCGCAATAACTTTTGAACAAACGCAAATTGCGGGAAAAAAAACAACCTCTTGTTAAAATTATAGTACAAAATGGTTCTATCAAAACAATATATTTCAACTCTAAAGGTGCATTTCAACGGACAGTAGCTCAAAATAAATATAAAAACAATTGTGTTTTTTTTCTCTTCAAGTTAAACAGTTCTTGAAATAACAATCAAATCAATTTTTTTTATTCCATAGAGCTCCTAGTACAATTTTCTACACACCCTTGTAATTTCTTATTGATTTTTTTAGCTGCAAAGCAAAATGTAACTTAAATTTTTAAAAAAAGTGAAAAAGTTCGTTAAATAGTTTTATAAAATTGTAATAACTTTCGAAAAAAATTGGAATTCCGATAAAAAAATAATAAAAAAACCGTGTTAAGTTTGTAAAGAAATAATGTCCTCTCAGAATGCATTCTGCGGCCCGTTGAGCAGTCCGTATGGTATTTTCCCGAGAAGTTTAACAGTTAATAATTCTCGAACAAATTGTTGAATTCCTGTACACTAGTCTACATGCCTTACCTATTTTAAATTTCTAAGTCTTACAGTTTTTGTCCACCAAAGCAAAATGCAACGTTAAGTTTAACACCTTAAACAGCGACGTAGGCCCTCACGTTTTTACAATATCGAGAGTAACTATAATTAAACTAGCGAGAAAAAGTCCCCCTATAGGGGGACTCTTTATTTTTTAACTCGGAGCAAAAAAAAATTTTTTTTTGGAGTTAGAAATTTTGTTAGTTATATATTATTAGAATTAATAAGTAAAATGAAACTTCTATTTTTTCCCCACAGTTTCTAAAAACGTTTTCGAAAATTGTTTGATGAAAATTGATCGAAAATTGTAGTGATGTTAATAAAGTATCAAAAAGTCAGCAGCACAATTTTTTTTAGTAATTTTAATATGATTTCAACTTTTATTTACATTTTTGCATTTATAGACCATTATAACATTAACCAAAATAGTAGCTTGTTATTTTGATTTGATCTATCATTAAAATCTTTAAACGTGATTTATCGAATATTTCATTAGAAAGTATTACGTAATCGCTCCCTTTAAAGCAATGATATTGTATGATTTGCTGTTTTCACAGTTACATGACAAATGCACTTCTGTTTCTAAATTTAATTTTATTACAATTCAAACTGAAAAAATTGATTTGGATGATGCTAAAAAATTCTTTCAATGTTAATTGCACAGAAAACAGATACCTATCAAAACTTTTGAAAACAGAATGACAGTATATTAATTAACTACCTTTCATAAATTACTAATTGCATAATTGTATTGGTATAATTTTGTTAGAAAAAATATAGAATCTAAAGGACCACATGCTTTATAACTCCGATTAGCTCACGGCTTTGCATTTTAGACGCATCGAAAGATACAGGAGATTAGAGTGAAAATCCTTCATCAGTTAATTTGTGAAAATTAAATAAAAAGGATTAAAAGTACATTTATAATTTTCTTCTATTTTCACCCTTACGACAGTTGAGAGGCACTTTAATAAACCAAGATATAAGTTTTTATTTCTATTTTACTTACTAATTGTGTTTTCTATTTTACTTCTCTAAAAATTAAATAAAGTTTTGAAAAGTTAGATATTTTAACTAACTGGTGGTATTTTAACTATTCTGGTGAAATGATTTATGTTAAATTTTCTGTTTTTTAAACTTTTAATGAAATTAGCACAATCTTATCTATAAGGGAACTGCAAATCAGTTGGGTAGTTTTTGGTCTTTATCAGGGTAGGCATTTCGTCTGGAAGAAACCTATTACTCTGAGTATACTTGAAAAACCTGGAAGAAACTAAAAGACCAACAAGAATGTTTAAAAGTGGAAGAATAGCTTAAATCTAAATAAATTAAATTTAATGTCGTTAAACGTTCTTCATACCTACTAAAAAATAAACTATTTTTTCATAAAATTTCAAAAAAAAATATACATCATATTATTTAAGTATTTGAGTATTTATATTTAACAGTATTTGATTAAAAAAATAGTATGCCATTGTAATTGCTCTTAGTGATTTATTACTAATGTATATGTTTAGTATATGACCTATTAACTCAGTAGTATAAATAAAACTTGATGTAATTTTAAAAGTTATTTGTTTAATTATAAAATTAGGTTTTACTACACTCATCTACATAAAAAATTGTAAATACATAGTTATTTTAATTTTTTAAGAAATTCAATAAATGCAACTTTTTTACAATCGCTGCTTTTTAGTTTTCGAGGGCTAAATAAAACTTGAAAACTAACACTAGTATTTTAACTAGATTGCAATTACAAATTGTTTTAATAATTGATATTTCTTTCTGAAAAAGAATCTTTCCCACTTGGGAAGAAAAAACACCTAGGACGGTCATCTCTAGTCTTTATAAATTTGCAAAAACAGGTGTTCTTTTTAGGCTTCAAAAACAAGTTCTTAAATGACAAGTTTGAAAAACTGATTTAAATGATCAAAAATTAGGTCAAATATGGTAAATTCATTATAGAAAGAAAAATATTAGACAGCTTTAAAGTTAAAAACTAAAATTACATTGACCATAAATTCATAAACATTCAACTGACAAACTGTACAAAATTTGTAAAGTCTTGTAACTTTTTAAGTGAAAGAGATGGAAAGATGAATTTCTAGATTCTATATCTAGAAATACCTTTCTAGATTTTCTGACGAATGTTTACATAATGTTTTTTTTTATTTTTGCATCACAGAACACGTTAAGAACTTAATAATATCTTATAATGGCTTTATTTTCTGTGGAAAGCTGAACAACTGATATCAAAAATGTCTTTTAATTGGCTACTTAATATTTTGAAAGGAACCTACTGTCCATCTTTATTTTTACGATCTTCAGCTTCCAAAGAATCAGTATACCCTCATTTCCTGACACAAGCAAATTATCAGTTGGTGCAAAATGAACAATATTTAGTGGAACTAAATGGTGATCATATTCAGAATTAAACTTAATGTTTATACCTGCTTCTTCATGTAAGGTGACATGCCATATCAAAATCAAAACCCCACTACCCAAACAAAAATGACTTTTCCTTTTTACAGGTTGTAAATCAATACTCAAGGCAGGTTCATGTTCATAAAAAACTATCTGTAGAATTTGGCACCTCATTTTTAAAATGATAAAAGTCATTTAATACTCAATGAACATAACAAAAAAATATTTAAGACTTTATAAGATATTACATTGCTCATTATAAATTCTACAAAGTACATTCAAAGTTCAAATGCTATGTACAATACATGAATGAAAGGAAGCACATATTAGTAAAAAGTTTAGCAAAGTTCAGCACTGAGCTTTGCTGATCACTAATTTTAACAAATATATTTTGTTTACAATAAAGTTGTACAAAACAGAATAAATTAATCCAAGACATCAATATAAATGTTAAGACGTTTGCAAAGAAGCTTGTACTCCATTGTAGATCTTTTCTAAGCAATTCAATCTTGGAAAAGTGTACTAAAACAAAATGTCATATGATATAATTTTTTTGTAGGCAAAAAATATTATACTTATGCAAATGCTATAAAAACATTTCAGTTAGCTTTGATAGTTTTAAATCCTGAGTCAAAAAATCCCCATTTCTTTTTCTAAACTAATTTGATGATTTTTATGACATTAGGATTTAATAAATCATTCTAATTCTTAAAGAAATTACTTGAACTATTACAGAATATCAATTGTTTAAGTTGACAAAATTACAAGTTAGTTTTATATCAATTTTAAACTTCAACTTCATTCAATTTTAAACTTAAATTTTTTCAAAAATATCAAGGAAATATCTAGAAAAGCTGTATTATTTAATAATACAGTACAGAACCCGTTATCCGGAAATCAGAAAACCGGAAAACCAAAAAACCGGAACGAAATTCGATAAATTTTCGCGCCATTTTTGAAAAAAAAATTTTTTTTCCTCATAAGATTTTAGGATTTTTTTTTCTTTTTTGAAAGATGTTTACCTTACCATCATTTTGGAAATAATTATTAGTGTATTCCTTCATCGTTTTTTCTTCTTTTTAAGATTTTTTCCAAAAAAACATTTTTTTTGTTGGGTTTAACAATAAACAAACGGCTTTTTGTAGCGATTCAGAAAACCGGAAAAATCAGTTATCCGGAATAGCGATGGTCCCGATCGTTCCGGATAATCGGTTCCCTACTGTATTAAAATAATTTATACAAGTAGAAATACCAGATATTCCAATAACTTTTTTGTAAAATTATTCACAACTATTATTTGATGCAGCAAAAAATTATTCAATATCTTCCGACTAAGGGGTAAAGCCATATGAACAAAATGATATAAAAATAGTTCATGTAGATATTTACAAAATGAACAAGTTTCAATACATCATTTTTTAAAAACAATTTCGGCAAAAAAAAAAGTGAACTATTCTCATTAAATGGAACAGCGTTAATATTTCATAAGAAGTTAAAAGCTGTTTAGTGTTTAATAATCAAATTTCCTAAGGTGAGAAAAATTAATTTTAACTTTATGACCAGTAAAAATATTTTTTACCCCTTATACTTGTAATAGATCGAAATGAAATAATTTTGCATTTATTTAACATTTTAAAATAGAGAAGTTAAAAATATAACATTTCTTTAAAATAGATACTTAATCTAACAAATGTTAAATAAGTTGCCTATTTTAAAATTTAACATTTTAAAACAAAGAATTTATATAACATTTAAAACAGAAAATGAGAAAAGTACAATAAATTCTATTACACAAAGATCCATAGCCACAAGGGAGTTACGGGGATCCTAACCCCTGGTGTTGAATTAATAAAATTTTGGTAATCTTTGCAAGTAATTTTTAAAAACATGAAATTTGTCTAACAAGATATTAGAATAATTTTCTTATATTGTGATGGAAGTGAAATGAATATTTCTCCCTAGTTTTAGTTAGTGCTAAAGAGGGAAATAAAATCTCATTTCGATTACTGTGAATTACAAAATGTTTACTTTATTGTTCTTTATACTTTAAATTTTGAAGCAACTAAACCTTTATCATATAAACTATTAACAACTAGGAATGTAATTGCTGTTAATTTAAGAAAAACAATACAAGTTAGTAGTTAGTGTAATAACAATGAATCAAATTATTTAGAGTATTTTGTGTCACTAATGAAATGAGCACACATGTTTTCCAACATTTAAACAACATCTAAATCAAAATGTTATAAAACAAAAGAATGCTAGAGTTCAGAATAACAATATGAAATATAAAAATTCACAGTAAAGTAAGTGATTAGATAAGTGAAGAAATAAAAATGCGAACCTGAAAAAGGGGAACAATGCTGCTAATTTTCAATGGGTCTTTCATATCTTGTAACAAAATGGCCAAGTAAAATATTATTCTTTGCTGTAAAAAAAAACGTATGAACATGTCATTTTAAACATAAATGAAAATCTGGCAGAAGTATTGGAATAAAGAAGTTATCTTCTTATTTTTTTAATTAGGTAGTGATTCTGTGGTAAAAATATATTCTTATTCTAATATCCAGTATATTCTAGCATCTAAATGTAAATTTTTAATATCTTCTTCATTTTTTTCACTCATACAATTTTGTACAGATACAGGGTTTAGTTGTGCTGATAAAATATCCCAGTTCAGTACTTTTTTGAAAGCTAGAATGGTATTCAGGAACTTTGATCTTATTTTTTTAATTTCATAAATCTGAATTTCTTTCTCCAAGAAATCAAGTTTTTGTGCTTATAGCAGCATATTTCATAATTTCAAAAGGACAATATTTTATTTGATATACACATGAAGTTTATGATCAGGTGTATGAATTAAAGAAATTTAGTTTCTGGTTCAAGGGACCGAAAACTAAAAGTTTACTTGAGACTGTACACATTTTCATTGATCTATTCAAGCACCTTCATTTGATTATGTAAAATAACAATAAAAAAGGAGACAAACTAAATTTAACAAATAAAATACTTTCATTTTCAAAAAAATAATAAAATTAACACTTGAATCTCCATGTAAATCGAAATTTTATTATTATGTTTTTATGTAGTTAATATAGAGGGTATTATTTTTGCAAACATTATAACAAATATTAAAAGCAAAAGAAAAAAAAAGGTGAAAAATTTTAGAGAATATTTAACATTTAAAATTGTTATGAACTAAGCTATTTTGTAACATAAGCATAGGAAAAAACATAAAATCAAATTAGTGTTTGCACTCTTTCTCACTGGATTGTTAATAATTGGTTGCTCCTATGGGGGACCACTAAGAATTATTTTATATTGGATTTGTTATAAACTACAACTATTTGATCAGAGGCAAAATATTTAAAATGTGCTGATTCAGAAAATAAATATGTAATTACAAAAATTGGAAGAAGGATGGTGTTGAAAATCAAATGTGAAAGATAACTTTAGCAAGTCATAATTAAAAAGTTTGATGGAAAGAAATCTCAAATAGTATTTTGCTTAGTTCCAAAAAGATTTCATCAAGCAGCTATTTGCAAATAATTATCAAAAAATAATTAAACATTTAGGAAACTATTTACAAATTTTATTTTTTTAAAAGAATTTCCTTTTTTTAAGACCTGGTAGAACAAAAATATATTTATAACACATAATGTTCTTAAATCCATAAATTTCAGTGTTTACAAAATGTCACCCAATATTTTCTTTTCCCCTTAAAAAAATGAGAATTCATATTATGATAATAAATTCTGTTTGATATTTGAACTCTGCTATGTTTAATCTTCAATAGACTCTTAATTTTTTGGTAGGAAACAAAATTCGTCATTTGTTATCTTGTTTTAAATTTTTTTTGATCCCCTTTATAGCTGTAGAGACTATATTTTGGTATAAAAATATTCAGCACTGCAACACTGGTAAAAATATTTATTAGATAAAATAACTGACTAAAACGTGTGTTCAACAAGAATTTTTTAAAGCTAGTTTTGTGCATTGGAAATGGTAAATTAGTTAACACAAATGATTTTTAGCTAAAAAAAATACTGACTAGAAATTTATGAACAAGCTTCAAATAAGATTGTTAGGAAAAATTGGTTTACTTTCCTTTGATTTTGAAAAAAACTTTTTGTAAAAAATTGCTTGTCTGATTTTTTTTATTTGTAAGTTTTTCTAATGCAAGCAAATGATTAATCATATTTTTGCATAACTTAAAAATAGTATGCTTAAACACTTTTAGTAGATTGTAACAAAATAAAAGTGTATGATAATGCGATAAAAGAACAAAAGAAAAGTTGGGTATTGTTACAATTAATCAATACTACTTTAGTTAAAGGCAACTTATTCAGCAAAATTATGTTATTCTTAATTGAATAAGAAAATCATACAATAAACGAAATTTTTTAACAATGAATTCCACAGATTAAAATATAACAAATGACTCTTCACCTTAGAAATTATATCATGCCAAATATTATATACTTAGAGAAGTGCAAGAATTGAGTTAAAACTGGTATTTAAAATAGAGAATAAAAAAATTAAAATAGATGAAGTGGTAGTTAAAATAATAATTTTGCAGCGACTGTGTACTTTAATATTTACGTGGAACAAATTTAGGATAAATAAAAATATTACTTAAAAGAAATCTCAAGATTTAGAAAAGACATCAGAAAATGTCAAGATTTTATAAGACAACTTTGAAGCTTGCAACATAAATTATGAATTGAATACCAAAGAGTAGAGATCTAGATTTAAAATTAAGAATTCAACTCTTTAAAATAAGCAAACATTCTCTAATTTTATATAAGAAATTCCAAAAAGAAGAGATAATTAAATAACAAATTCTTTCTAAAACTTAAAAGATTGTAAACTATAAATTTTAGCACCAATCTATTGTTTTAATAAAAATTTAACAGCATTTATCTTAAGTTAGGAGAATTTGTCATAAATAAAAGAAATATAAAAATAAACATGCTTTTGGTTCATAATCAATGAGTGCAATCATTAGATTCAGAGTAACACTGATTTAAGTTTGGTTATTTAGGGACTAATCATAAATCACAAACTAATAGTGAGTAATAAATAATGAACTTGCTAGAACCTTATAAATGCTGCAGGTTTGTTAAGTTTTAGCGAGATTTCTAACAAGCACATAGATATACCTTTGATGCTAAGTAGCAGAAACCTTCCCGCAACTCAGTGGGTGATGCGGAAAGAACACAGCAAAGAACAAAAAGTTCAAAAATTCTTTTTCCTGTTGCTTCATTACAGGCTTAACTGTTTAGGGATTTATTCCATTTTTTTAGTATCATTGTATAAAATTCAACTTAAAAAATATAAAGTTCTTATGTATGATTTTTAAAGACCATATCTTTTTGAATTTTGCTACTTGCATGCTAAATTAACCTGAATTTTTACAATACTCTTTGTCTGACTACATTGAGGTTGCAGACAAATTGAGACTCAGAGAGTGCAGCAGATTTGGTCGATAATTTTTGCCACCGTGCTTGAAAATCATATATTTTTTAAAACAATTTCCATGGATTATTACAATTTCAACATATTAAACGCAATTTTAATATGCTTAAAAAATTTTTTTTTTAAATATACCATAAAAAAAATTCATTAATAATCAAAATTTTAAAGAACTAAATACCTTGAAAAATATTTTATACAATTATTAACATTGATAAGAGAATTTTTTTTTTTAAATTTAGTAATTTTATTTAAATGACGGTTCTTTGGAATTATTTTAGGAATAAATATAAAAATAAAAAGAGTAAAGAGTCTCAAGATTTTTAACAAAATTGAGAAGTTTGCAATACATACTTTGTATTAGTACATATTATAAAAATAACAAATTTTTAATAAGGCTATAATGTAGTTTTTATAAAATTGAATACTTAAGCAAAAAAGGTACAATAAAAATCAATTTTTTAAACTTTACCATGAAGAAACCTTCATTAATAACTATATCATAAACATCATGTCGGTGAAAAAACTGTGAAGCTTTTCTACCAGTAACAAAGGTAGTTGTTAACTGAAGTCCAAGGGAGGCAATTACTAGTAAAGATTCTATAAAAGATGTAAAAATAATTAGAGAAATTTGCTTAAATAATTAAAGATAAAAAATATTTTTAAAAAACGTTAATTGCAAAGACAATTTTTTAAATATTTTTTATGAATTTCAAAAAGTGAAACTTTTATGAATTTATAGAAATATTTTTACAAAATAAGTAAGTAGCACATGTAACACTGAAAGCTAAATCTATACTAATAAAATTGGCCTCACAATTATTATAGGTTTGGCTGACACATTCTAATAATATCTTATAAACATTTTTCTCCTTAAAAAATAAATTTTTTAAGTAGTAATTTTGGAAAAACAATCTAGTGTTGCATGAAGAAGTTTTGTCTTAACAAATTAAATACAATTTATGAAACTAATATCTTTCATTTTAATCAAAGATTATCAAAACAAAGATGTCAACTTATCAAATCAAAGATATCAACTTTAATCAGAGATAATAAGAACTCATATAAACTGCTAACAGAAATAAAGAGAGCAGAAAACCTTATTAACTAATTTAATAAGTAATACATTGGTGAAACTAATAAACCGTTAACTATAAAATTAGAAATAGCTATTATACTCAGTTGCAAATTATTTTTATGAAGTGCTAGTTAAATTAATGCCAACATATATCAATGTCCCCAACAGTTAAAATGATGTCGTAGAGACATTGATATCATAATGCTTGAAAATAAAAATTTGCAATGAAAAAAACAACAACATATGCTTAATTAAATTATTGTATCGTAATATAAAGTTTATATAAGTTTTATTTTTAATCGAGTCTGAAAATGGCATTTGGAAGTTAAAGCAGATCTTCATTATTTAATTGTAAACAACAAAAAGATTACATTTTACAGTTAAAAATCATTTGGCAAATTCCTTTAAAAATAAAAGATAGATAAGTAAGAGAAGAGATTAATCATTTAAGTAAATAATTGTTGACATAAATGTAAAATCATTTTAAAATTTGTATATTGGTTTATGCTCATTGGTAAAACAATCATTTAACAAAATGCAATATAATAATAATAATAATAATTTATAACAATGTATTATTTAAGTGGATTTATCATTCTGGTAAATCACAAATAAAATTGACTAAATTCATATTCCTTAATATTTTTTCAAAAATTTTAATAAAATAAACATGTTTTCAATATGAATTGCAATAATTTGCACTTTTAATCATAACACTGCTTTATTATAAAGAATAATAAAGAATTGAATTTCAGTATAAAATTAGGTATTCTAGCAATTCTTTCATTTCGCTGACAAAAAATTTATAGTTGAAGTGAAAAGATTGTTAATTTAACGCTTTAACTACCTGTGGACAATGTATGTAAATTTATGTAGTCACAAAAGAGAAATGCCAACGAGCATGTGTAGAAATTTAACGAGCACAAACTTAAATTTAATAAAATTGTCTGAAATAAAATAATTTTATAATAACTAAATGATAAAATAAAGAAAGCAACAGAGCTATTGCATTGAACATACCCTCTAAAATTTCAAGTTTGAGTAAAATATTTTTTCTAGAAGTAGTGAACTAAAACCGAAATTTTGAAGCTAACAGAATATTTTTGAGAAGTCTATCAGAACTTCTAAATATGAGCATTTGTGCGTCTGACTTTTATAACTACTAAAATAATTTATATGTACTAGTGTTCAAATTTCTTTCAGGTCTAATTTATTGGAAAATAATATATCTTAGCTACCTCTGAGAAACATATTTTCAGAAAAAGTATATAATGCAATATTATTACTAATTAACATTAATTAAACACAATAAGAAACATATATTAAAATTATCAGCTACAGAAATTTTGTAGTTGTTGAGATGTATGCAAAAAAGAAAAAAAAGAGCATGCTTGAGATATTGTTGAAAAAATTGTATATGTCATTTAAGTTACATCGATATTTTATATCTAACTGCATAAAATGATATTAAAGCTTGTTTTACTTTAGTAACAGATAAATAAAGTCAGAAATACATACACAAAATCATAAAATGTAAATTATGCGTAAAATTAAGAGCTAGACATAATATTGGGAGGTCCCAGACATGAACAGAATGGCACAATTTGAACTATTTATCAAATAAAATATTTTCAAGGATCCACTCTAAAAATTTTGAGATCCTCAATAATTGAATAAAAAAAATAAAGCAAATCTTCATTTTTTAATTTTGAACAACAAAATGATTACACTTTACAGTTGTGAATCATTTGTCAAATTCCTTTAAATAAAAAAAGATTGATATGGTTAGAGAAGAGATTAATCCTTTAAGTAAATAATTGTTAATATGTATACAAAATCATTTTAAAATTCAGATATTGTATTTAATTTATGCTTATCAGTAAAATAATCATATTAATACAATACAATATTGTAATAAGACACAACAATGTATTATTTAAGTGATAATTTTGATAAGTTAAATCAACTAATAATCGAATTAATAAAAAATTATTGTTTCTATTATGAATAGCAAAAATTCGCATTTTTAATCGTAACACTGTTTTATTATACAAATGAAAAAGAGTTGAATTTTAGCATGAATTTAGATATTCTAGCAATTCTTTCATTTTGCTAATAAAAGATTTATAGTTGAAGTGAAAAGATTGTTGATTTGCAGCAGTTGAAAAGTTTTTATAAATCATTTTAAAAAAAAAGAAAAAAAAAGAGCACATATGAGATAAATGTTTAACTAATAGTTGTTGAAAAAACTGAATATGACATTTAAGTTAAGAGATAGTTTATATCTAACTACATTCAGTTATTAAAATGATATTAAGACTTGTTTTACTTAAGTAACAGATAAATAAAGTCAGAAATACATACAAAAAAATCATAAAATGTAAAATATTCACTATTTTTACATAATAAACATATCTATTGGTAAGATAGACAAATTTTAACAAATGCATAAAATTAAGAGCAAAGCTTTTTGTGCTCTTAATTACTTATTGGGAGGTCCCAAACATGAAAAGAATGGCACAATTTGAATTATTTATCAAAGAAAATATTTTCAAGGACACACACTAAAGATTTTGAGATCCTAAATAATTGAATAGAAAAATAATGGATCATTTCCTTTAGTATTTGCTTACAGTGGTTTTATTTACAGTTTTTTAATAAGAGGTTAAAACACATAAAAACAACTGTCTTGCATGATTTGTAATTTAAAAGCACAAGATAACCTAAACTGTTTCTGAGCTGCTTGAGTTCATTGTAATATTATCCAAGAAACTTTTTGTTCCTTGACCAAAACTAATAGCAATATTCTTGAAAAATGTCTTTTCAAATATAATAAATATTAATATGATACAGTAATGTTAAAAAATAACCTATATCATCACTAACTGTTTATAATTAAAATAATTATTATTACACATTATATTTACCTTCTTTTACTTTAAGATGCAACTTGAGTATCAAAACAAAGCACAAGATAATTAAAAAAATTCCAAGGTAGCTTGTATCCTAAATAGAAACATTTAAAGAATTTTAAAATAATGTAAAAGCTAATTACTTCGAGAATGATATAATACACAAAAGTTTCCTTCAAAGAATTTATTCAATAAAAATGTTATATTTTTACGTAACACCAACTATGAGACATTGTCAATAAATGAGTATAGTTTCAAATACCTTAGATAGATAAG